TCTGCCACAGTTTGGCTACCTTCTGGTGGTCAAGGAAGACAGATTTTTTTAAAAGTCTTGTTTCTAGTCTCCTCTAGCAATAAAAATAATGCAATCAGAAACAATTTTTTTTTTATTATCTTGCCATAGAGATGTGTTCAAATGTTCAGTTTTAAATGAATATAACCAAAGCCCATAATAAATTACTTAGCTGACTGAATGTGATAATTTGCAGAGAGAAACATCTTGGAGAATCATCTACCCCCATAGCTCTCTTTAGCTTTAATGTATGTAGTTTCTGTTCAAGACACATTGGGTCTGAGTGGGTGAGTAAGGAGGGAATGTCTTCATTTCCCTAACATTCAGTTAGGGGTGGTCCAAATAAAAACACCCCTGTGCTTCAGTGTTGTAGTCTTAGCCTCACTCAATCACCCATGTCCCCATGGTGAGGGGCTTTGGCCTAGGAGACAGAAATGGAACACATTTTGATTTGGACTTTAACTATGGCCTTTTTCTTTAGTTAGACAGCCAGCCCAGTAGGCCCTCAATTCTGCACTTCAGGTAAATTCCTGTTGTTATTTTTTTAATTTTGTCCATAATTTATGCTTTAATATATTTATAAATTTTATTTCTGAAGTAATATACACATAATAACAGAAAAAATAATACAGAGGAAATTCTTATCAATTATCAATAGCAATGTGTCCTACTCTAATCTTTCTAAACCCACTCCTACTTCTCAGGGACAAATCTCTTATAGCTGTCTATTATTAGTTGTAGTTGTACTACTTTCTTTCCTTGCTTCCTCCCTTTCTGTTTTCATTTCTTTCTTTCTTCTTCCTTCCTTTTTTTCTTTCTCTTTTCCTGGAGTTCCTACTCCCAGAGTCTTCTATTCTTATGATCCAATATAGACAGCTTTTTATGTTTGCCTCATAGCATTTATTCTGGGGCTTTCCTTTGCCATCTGGCTTTGTTAAGTTTCCTGTTTTTTAGACTCCTTCTCATTATCTTGACTTATTTTCTCATTTTGTTCCAGCTTAACTTTCAGTTTCTGTTTAAGAAAGAGTTCATGGGAGGTAAATTTATGATATTTGTCTCCCCTCTGCACTGCTACACACACACACACACACACTCACAGAGAGACAAACACACACACACTCTTTTTTTTTTTTTTTTTTTGAGATGGAGTCTCGCTCTGTTACCTGGGCTGGAGTGCAGTGGCACGATCTCGGCTCACTGCAACCTCTGACTCCTGGGTTCAAGCGATTCTCCTGACTCAGCCTCCTGAGTAGCTGGGATTATAGGCGTACATAACCACGCCCAAATAATTTCTGTATTTTTCGTAGAGACAGGATTTCACCATGTTGGTCAGGCTGGTCTTGAACTCCTGACCTTGTGATCCACCCGCTTTGGCCTCCCAAAGTGCTGGGATTACAGGCGTGAGCCACCATGCCCAGCCACACTTCTTACGCTTAATTAATAGTTTACTATACAGTTCTACCTAGATTGTAATTTCCCCTAAGAATTTCCCAGGCATTGCTTCAATGTTTTCTTGTTTCTAGCAATGGTGAAGAGAAGTCTAGTATGATAGTTAGCAAAGAAGGACTGGGTAATCCTTTATAAGTGACTTACCTTTTTCTTATCTCCAAACTTTTAAAAAAGATTTTTCTTTTTAAGCACAGTGTTCTGAAATGTTACATGCATATATTCATTTTTTCTATTCTTTTTGCTGGTGAATCACTTGAAACTGTCATCCTCAAACTTTTTGGTTGCAGGACCATTTTATAGTCTTAAAAATTATTGAGATCCCTAAGAGCTTTTTTAGATTTGGGTTATACATAACAATATTAGATATTAAACCTGATAAAATTTTAAAAAAATATTTATTATAAATTCACTTAAACATTACAAAATAAACATTAAGGTTTGTATGTTATATTTTTAATGTTAATAATTATATTTTCTTAAAACAATTAGGAGAGTGACAATGGTCTACATTTTGCAAATTTTCTGAATATCTTAATATAATATAGCTGAATTTTCATATCTGCTTCAGGAGATGTTGTGTGGGTTCATATATATGCCATTAGAATAGAGAGGATTATTTTAAAAGCTTTTTCAGATCGTGAACATTCTTCTTTTAAAACTACACCAAAACTCAACAAATGTTACTTTCTTAAAGGTGAATAGCAAAGAGCATATCATTAAATTTTTATTTCCTCTCGTATATAATTTATTGGACTAGTTTTCACTACAAATTAATCATTTACTATGCATGATTTTGACTTTGCTTGTGGTGTTCACTTGAAAAACATTGCTTCCTTCAGTTATGTATATCTTCCCAGTGTAGACATATTTCATTGTACCATATCAAAAAAAATACATTCATGAATATTGCCAGAAATCTCATTAGAAAAATTTTTAGGTATTAGGAAACTGTCAAACTTACGGTATTGATAGAAGTTTCCCAACACTCTAATCTTCATTTGAAAGCTTTAATTTTATCATTGAAAATAAATTATCTCAGTTTTCTTATATGACAGTTTTTTATATTTCATTCATTTTTGAGTAAACATCTTTTCAATATTTAACTCTGAATAACCATAGTCTGTCAGTCATTCTTCAAAGATAAAATGATGTTCTATGAAAAAAGTAGCTAATTCTTTTTGCAGCTCAAGCAATCTCATAAGACATTCCCTCCAGGCAATTATATGTTGGTATGCAGCAGAAGGGTCTTACACACTTTTCATTTTATGACACAATATTCAAATGTCATGTCCTAGCTTTAATAAAATTAATACTTTTTATTGATCAATTAAGGTAACTTTTAAATAAAACTGGCATTTTTTTTTTTTTTTTCCCCTGTGAGTGTATGGCAATAGTGAATTCAGTGATTCCTAGTACAGTTTAATGCTACTGGCTACTGGGTTTTTAAAACAAATATTCTACTTTTTTTTTTTTTCCCCCTATTATTTTCTGAGGTTTCTTTGGTCTTTTTTCTCTATATTTTGGAAGGTTGCCTCCACCATATTTTCTGATGATTCTATTGAAAAATACTTCTTAGTAGATTTTTTAATCTCTAAAGACTCTTCTTTTGTAATTGCTCATTTTTTACAGCATCTTTTATCTTCTTGAGTGGCGTATGTACTAGAATCTCTTGCGTATGTTAATCAGATATTAGGTAATTTTAAAAAATAAGATTTTTTCTAAATTATTATTTGTGCAACTATGTTTATCTTAGTGTTTATTTTTCATTGTGCTAGTTTTTCCCATTGAGCTGGAGAGCCTTGATTTCCTATGATGTTTAACAAAGAAGGACTGTGTATCTTTCATGGATGTCTTTTACCTTTATGAGAGTAGAAGTCTTTTCACTTGGTATCTTCCTTGAGAGGAGCTCTGCAAGGCATTGGATACCGTAACTTGCAAGTTTATTTTGGGAGGGACCTGGGGGTCAGGATTTGATTCCCGTGAATGCCAGAATGAAGAGAACTGTGTTGCATGGCACCAGCTTTAATATTCAAAACCTCTTCACTGAATATCTTACTACAGAGCTCTGGCTACTTATTTGAGACATTTTATCCGCTGTCAGCCCTCTGTGAACTAAGGGCAAAGAGCTAAGGAGATGGAGGTAGCATTACATATAAAAATATCTTTATTTCATTGCCCAAATAGAGTTAAATAACCTTATTTCAACTTCTAGGTAGAAATTGATTTGTAGTCTCAATTTGTGGCTATTAATTCTTTTCTTATTGATAAGTCTACATCATTCAAATCCTTTTACATTATAACTTCATTTTAAATTCCCGCATTGCCTTAAATATTTTCAATGTTCTCATGGAGTCTTGGAAAGAACACACGTTTTGCAGATAGGGAGACCAAGTATGTAACTTTGATTAAGTTACTTAATCTTCATAGAGTCTCAGATTCTTTATAAAATGGAACGATAATAGTATCCTTACAGTTTTGCTTTCACAATTTGAAATAATACAATATGAGGGGGAGAGCTCTATTTTTTTTTTTTTAATCCGTGGCACACTGTAGATTATCTGATATCAAATGAGCATTCAGTAGGTGGTAACTATAAATTAATACAGTTTTGGAGAAAGGGTCACTAGGAGAAATAGAGAAGGTTAAAAATTGTGAAGAGACCAGTAACGGAGAGCACAGATGATTAAAAGCTTACACACTTTTGGCCGGCCGCAGTGGCCCACGCTTGTAATTCCAGCACTTTAGGAGGCCGAGGCGGGCGGATCACAAGGTCAGGAGATTGAGACCATCCTGGCTAACACAGTGAAACCCCGTCGCTACTAAAAATACAAAAAATTAGCCAGGCGCGGTGGCGGGCGCCTGTAGTCCCAGCTACTGGGGAGGCTGAGGCAGGAGAATGGCGTGAACCCACGAGGCGGAGCTTGCAGTGAGCTGAGATCTCGCCACTGCACTCCAGCCTGGGCGACAGAGCGAGACCCCATCTCAAAATAAATAAATAAATAAATAAATAAATAAATAAATAAATAAATAAATAAATAAAATAATAAAATATATAAACTTACACAGTTTTAATAAATAGAAGGTTGGAGAACAATGTATATTTTATAATTGTTGTTTAGCTATTTTGTTAGATTTTGCCATTATTTACAAATACGTATAGTACAAAACTACATGATCATGTTTAAGTATGTAAATAATAAAAGCTGATTTTATATTAATTTTAAATATGTTTTTGTTTATATCTTTATACTTACATATTATGTAAAATGTAATATAAAAATATTATATATTCTTTTCTAAGGAAAAAAAGTTAAATTGAAAAATCTAACTGTAGAGGAGGAGGAAAGTTTGAACAATAAAACGTCACTGGGAGCTGCATTTTTAAATGTAACAGTGATTTTACTGTTACCCTTAGAAACAGAGTTTGGAAATATAACAAAAGAAATCAGAAAGTATTATAGTTTACTAACTATTTATTATTATTTAATAAGAAAATTATACTTTCCTTTAAATAATATCTTTTCTTTTACTAGATAAGAAACTGTGGTGGGCAGACCAAAACTTAGCTCAGCTGGGAACCTGCAGCAAAAGAGACGGAAGAAACCCCACCATCCTACGAAATAAAACATCCGGGGTAGTTCATATGAAAGTATATGATAAAGAAGCACAGCAAGGTAAGTCACACTAGTGAATTTGTGCCAGGTTTTGAATACATAATGTGCTCTTTTTCATACTAGCTCCTCAATTCAACAATAGAAAGTTTCTATTCTTGCTTCTAATAAAAAAGAAAAAAGGAAAATGTTGCTTACTACTATAGGAGAAATGCCTTTAACATAGGTGCATAATGAGCTTTGAAAGCATTAGCAAACCTGCCTTAGGAGTCTTAATTTGTCAGGTCTTCAAAGAGGTCTTATCCTGTTCTTGACTAAAAAAATACAAGAATAAGAAAATATAACTGGGCAAAATATATACAATGTATATTTAAGCCCAGAATCTGAATGAACTAGGGGCCTTCAAATGGACTACATCAACAAAAGAATTCCATATCCAAAAGCACTGCATTGTTTGGCTCTAAGCGTTCTGCATTTTTGTTTTTGCTTCTCCAAATTGTGTGCAGTGAAATGGAGTGAGAGAAATAACAGATGGTTTACATAGGTAGACTTGTCACACTGCCCAAGTGGCAATTGGATTAGAGCTGGCAGCCAGTACAGCCCCACATCTGCTAGTCCTTTCTTACTTTTTGCTTCATAATCCATGACATTAGCAGAATTCTCTTTCTTAAAACAACAACAACAACAACCCCCGCCCCCAAAAAATGTGCTCTACTTTCATACATTATTCTCTTCTATGAAAATCCTTAGCTTCACATACTTTTCTTAGGAAAAATTTTCCAGAATGATTTTGAACGCTAAGAAAGGGATTTTCATCTGAAGGATTTGGGGTATGTCGACCAAAGCAGAGAAGAGTAGGGGAAAAATAGAAAACCAAGGAGACTGCTATTTCTGAAGATAGGTGATGACCATCAAGCAAGCAGAATTTATTGGACATACCAATTGAGAGCGCTGTCTGCACATCAGGAGATAAAATAGAGATCAGATTAGGGTTTGCCTTCCCTGTGCAGGCAATGGATCACATTGGTTTTGGAATCTTTACTTGCCCCAGGCAGAAGAAAACATATTACTTATTCATAAAAATTAATAACTTTAGAAGAAAAAATTGCTTTAAACATTTATCTAAAGTATTTGTTGGGTTCCTTTCATTGTTGAGAATTTATGAACGTTTGTCAATTCATATATACAGAATGTACTTGCACCCAAGAGAATGAATATACATACATATACATACATGTATAACCTGAGAATGTGTATTATACCCAAACGGTTAGCTATGTGTTCTCTGAATTTTTGGGGTCATGTCCACAACAATAAACAAGGATATTTTTCACTAGCAATTCAGTAATGAAATTTTTCTGTATCAAAATAATAATTATACTGACATTCAAGTCATGGGAAATAGATTATGTAATTGAGAATAAAATACTGCTACTCAGTAAATAAAACATCGAGGCATTTTCTCAGATCTCCATAGAATATAATTATGTGTAAAAACTCACAGTACTATTGTAAATCTTAGTGCATAACACATATATATGAGACTGTATCTGAAAACATAACATTAGAAAATATGAGAGAGAGGGGGAGGGTATGCAAGAGAGTGAGAGAGAGAGAATTTCCAAACAAAGTATTTTTAAAAAATTACCCACTTTTCCAAACTGTGAACAAGCATATGCTTTGTTTTAAGCTGTAAATTAATATGTCAAATTTTCTAGATATAATTCCAATGAAGTTTGTAGGGGGAAACATTTAGTATATGATTCTCAGCGTACTTTACCCTTGTTAACAAGATTTTCCTCATCTTTTAAAGATTTGATTCTATAGGTATAATTGGGTGTTCTATGCTCTATGAAAGTATTGCCAAATGAACAAGGACCTCTAGCACTTAGAAATCAATGGTATAATATAAATAAAGTTAAAATTTAAGCAGTGAAAATACCATTTCTACTAGAATATGCTGATAAAGGCATCTGTATTAAAGACAATCCCATTAACAGAATTACTGCGGGTAGCGTAAAAGCTTCATTAGTATGAAATATGACCAATTTAGGACTCTTTAAGGTGTTAACATTACTACCTATTTGGATTTCAAAGTACAATTAGTGACTTAATATATCATTTTTGACAAAGATCACTGGAGAATTGAGACTTCTTGTTAGTCAAGTGTACTTTTTAGCTCCACTAGAGATTTGGAGCATGAGGTTTCAACATCCATATCATTATAAATTATTAAGCCAAGCTGGTATTTATAATTTGATAGATAACAAAAATTTAAAAATAAAACATAAATTTGTTACATAAATTATTACTTTTTAATTTTACTATATTTTTCTACTTTAAATTTAACAGAAAAAGACCCTTATTGTAAATAATAATTCATTTCATTATTTTTTACTTTTTCTCTGCTTCACTATTAATTTCCTCTTAGAGACTAAACAAAGGATACAGGAAATGTATATGGTTAGTGTTTAACATTAATTGTTGAAATATATTTTATTGTTTATCAAAAATATAATTATCTCTATATATATCTGAATATTTATCTGAACTATTAAATATAATACTTATATATGGCTATTTTTGTAATTATATTAAAATATACAGCCCCAGACCCAGAAAGTCCTTTTTTTTCACGTATTTTTGCTATTATCAAGGCTATATAACCCCTCACATTCTTTTATTTATTTCTCTATTTTTTGAGATGGAGTCTCACTCTGTCACCCAGGCTGGTGTGCAGTGGCACCATGCTGGCTCACTGTAACTTTCATCTCCTGGGTTCAAGCAATTCTCCTGCCTCAGCCCCCTGAGTAGCTGGGATTACAAGTGCCCACTACCATGCCCGGCTAATTGTTTTTGGATTATTTTAGCAGAGACAGGGTTTCACCATGTTGGCCAGGCTGGTCTGGAACTCTTGACCCCAGGTGATCTGCCCACCTCAGCCTCTCAAAATATTGGAATTACAGGCTTGAGCCACTGTGCCAGGCCACATTCTCTTATTTTTAGAAGTTCATTGTCTTTCCTAACTTATTTTTCTTTACTTGTTTTTTTTTTTTTTTAAGACAGAATCTCATTCTGTCACCCAGGCTGCAGTGCAGTGATATAATCTCTGCAACCTCTGCCTCCAGGGTTCCACTATTCTCATGCCTCAGCCTCCCGAGTAGCTGATACAGGCGTAGCCACCATGCCCGGCCAAGTTTTGCTTTTTTAGTAGAGATGGAGTTTCAAGACAGGCTTGTCTCAGAACTCCTGGCCTCAAGTGATCTGCCCACCTTGACCTCCCAAAGTGCTGAGATGACAGGCATGAGTCACTGTGCCTAGCTTCTTCAATTCCCTTATTTTTCTTTCTCTCCAAATGTTGTCCTTCACGCTTTATAGTTAAGTATCATCTGCCGATCTCTCCCCAGCCTTTCAGTGTTGGTAGTTGAAATACATCTGCATCTAAATACATCTCTCTAAAAGATTGGCATTACATGAATATACCTATGATTTCTACAAAATGAAATATGGAGATTGTCAATATAGAATTATAAATCTAGCCTGGGGGCAGTGACCCATGCCTGTAAAACCAGCACTTTGGGAGGCCCAGGTGGGCAGATCACTGGAGGTCAGGAGTTCAAGACGGGCCTGGCCAACATGGTGAAACTCCGTCTCCCCTAAAAACACAAAAATTAGCCAGGCGTATTGGCTGGTGCCTATAATCCCAGCTACTCGGGAGGCTGAGGCAGGAGAATTGCTTGAACCCAGGGAGCAGAGGTTGCGATGAGCCAAGATTGCACTGCTGCACTTCAGCCTGGGCAACAGAGTGAGACTGTCTCAAAAAAAAAGAAAAAAATCTATAAATATAATTGTTTTGTTATTTGATAAATTAGAGAAATGAAATTTCATCTTAATGTTATACGTCAGTTTGGAAAAAATGTGGAGTGAATCAGTTATTTTTTATTAGTTTATATAGGATAAATGTAATCATTTCAAAAGTTCAGGGCCATTATGTGACCCTACATAAAATGGAGTTCATCAATGGCCGAACTGGCAGATACAGGACATGAGCAGCGAATGTGGTAGATCTCCTGATGAGAAATCTCCCAAGTTGAGAGTATTTCACACTTCAAAAATGACAGCCCTCATGACAGGTTCGATTGAACAATTAAATCCCATCAGACTATATTGAATTCAGAAGGAGAGAAATAATGAGCTGCATTGGTATTTTGAAATTTCCACAGAGAACTATTGATATAGAGCTTTCATCATGCTTTGTAATTCTCACTGGATTTATTGTACTTCATATCAGTGCTTGAACATCCAGTAAATGGCATTGCATGCTCTAGAATAATAAAAAAGCTGTAAAAATGGGATATTTAATGAACTTTCTTGGTAAGATTGTAAATTACTTAACTTCACACTACCAGCATTAATTAGCACATTGACCTAGTAAATTCAGTGGATCATCTTCAGCAGGGATTCTAGAATGCCTACCTGTGATTACCTGGCTAATATTTGTCATTGGTACTATACAGAAATAAGAGGAATTAACATGCCAATTAATTAGATGACTCTTATGGTTGTGTTTTTCATACATTTTGGGAGAACTATGTTTCTATGAATGAGAAAATTTATTTCCTTGCTTTTAAAAATTAATTGAATACATATAAACATACATACCTCCTTTCTCTTAGATGCATAATCTTTGAGTGGTTAGTAATAATTTAACAGCTATTTATATGACACATTCGGATGAAATATTCTTGCAAAGGAAGTAATTGTAGAGTTGAAGTGAAATTTAAAAATCAAAAGAGAAAAAGATTCTGGTTTGTCTGATCTTAAAATATTACAAAGGTCTGTGAAAATATTTATGACAAATCAATTTCTTTTTGCTTTTCTGTAACTATTAATCTTCTGATGTATCTCTGTTGACTTTTTTGAAAGGGCAAATTCTCATAATTTGCTACTTTAAATTATTCAAGAAAATAAAATGTAATCCTAACCAATATGAAACAGCTGCATTTCAAAATCAATAACATACATATTTGTTAAATTATTGATATTAAAACTTTATTTTTTAAAATTTCATTAAAGGAATGTGTTTTGTTTTCATTCTATGCAGGCAGCAATTCTTGCCAACTAAACAATGGTGGATGCTCTCAACTTTGTTTACCCACATCTGAAACTACAAGGACGTGTATGTGCACAGTGGGATATTATCTCCAAAAGAACCGCATGTCATGTCAAGGTATGAGTTCATGGAAAACCTTACCTCTGGTTCATTTACTTCATTAGTCGTTACATACCATGCAGACTTTAGGCACCAAAGTCAGTTAAACATTAGAAAAAATATTAACCAGTTATTAGGAAATGGTATACTGTTTAGTCTCATATGTGTAAGATTTTAATATTTGAAAGATTTAAAATATTGTTCTGCCTTATAAGACATTCTAATTTTTTAGTTATTTTTAACAACTGCAGTTTATTATCAAACCTTTAACCAAATCTAGTAGAAGCTACCTTCAACCTGAATAGGCAAAAGTTATAGTGAAAAGCAGTGCTTGATTGGCTGGAATTAATGTAGAATTTGAACTAAATAATGTTTACTTTAGACTATATTAGAGAAAGCACTAGAGAGAACGTGAGGTCTCAGGTTTGCATAACTGAGGGAGAAAAGCACTGTAAGAGAATTGGTACCTAAGAAATCTTGTTTTGCAGTCTCTACTTCTATTAGTCCCAAAGAACTTTGTTTCTAGGATGATCTTTTATATCTAATGATCATCACTTAATTTTATCTTTAAAAATGTTCCAATCTTATTTGAGAAATATATATGTATATTAATATTATCATTTATTTTATTTTAAATCCAATATTTATATGATACGTATTACATACATGGCTCTGTTCTAAGTACCTTAAACATATTAATTCACTTAATCATCATAGCCTCATGAGGTAGGTCTCTTATTCAGAAATGAGGAAACTGAGGTACAGAGAAATTAAGCAACTTAATCAGGTTACATGGATAGGAAGGAGCAGAAACAGATTAAATTCTAGGCATTCTAGTTTTAATAAGAAAAAATATATAAATATTTTCTAATATGTTGGCAAAATGCATAAGCTTTAGCGAGTGTACTTTTGGTAGTTAGCTTAATATTTATGTGCCTGTTTTAGGACAGGCTTCTGATGCTACAGAAGTGAGATATTAATAGCTAATTAAGCTATTGATGTATTCTTAGTATGACGAAGATTTATGAAGACTATCTTCATAAATTTCTTAATTTAAGAAATCTAAATGCCTATTAAAATATCAGTGATATAGTAATCTTAAATCAGGTTTATTATCATCTATAAGTAAAGAGATGTTTGGATTTTAAGGAAGAGGGAATAAATTTTGGTTGAGGGATGAGGTAGGCTTCCGCGAATAATCTAACTCAGTGCTTATGAAAGTGTGGGGCCCGTACCAGCATCGTCAGCACCAACTGGAGGATTTTTAGAAATTTAAATAATCAGGCTTCTGGGAGGGGGATGGTGCCCACTAATTCATTTTAATAAATTCCTATTTTAATAAATCTTATGCATAAACAAATTTGAGAACTACAAATCTACCTACCTTTCATTAGTCAGGAAGTGTAGTGCACAATAATTTTTAAAAAGGCTAGGAAATACATTTATTAACATAAATTAAGATTTTTAAAAATAATACAAATGAAATTATTTTTATTTTAAATATTCATCCTGGGCTTCCCTTCCCCTACTTATCTCTTGCCCTACATTTAGGTATAGAATCATTTCTTATGTACTCTGTTCATGAAGGAATCAGGGGAATACCTCTTGAACCAAGTGACAAAATGGATGCTTTGATGCCTATATCAGGAACTTCATTTGCCGTGGGAATAGATTTCCATGCAGGTAAATAGCTTTTTAGTCATAATTTATGCATAATGTATTCACCTGATTTATTAAACATGATGAGAATACAACATTTTCCTCTGTACTTTAACAGTCAAGGTGAGAAATAAGAAAGCAGCAAATAGATAAATTTTAAAGCCAATCATAAATTGTTCTAAATATGTAATGTCTGAAAAACAATCAAGTAAAATTGTCCGAAAAGTATAGCATTTGAATTGTAATTGCATTAACATATAATGATTGGCACTTGGTTGCTTACTTTTATTTCTCTCTCTTTTTTATTTTGATACTTTACTTTTATCTAGTTATAAATATAAAGACATATAAAGCATGTTGACCTATTATATACTAAAATATAATCTTATTTAAAATATAATCAGGATGTGATTTTCTATTGTAATACAAGCAGTGGCAAATGAAATCCAAATAATAGAAACAATTATACATGCTAAACCATTGAAAATTATTGTTGAATATAGTATGTATCATTTGGAGTCAGATTTTACTTTACCTTCTTATATTTTAGCAAACAGTGAAAGGAAGCAACAGGAAGCAAAGTGGACACTAACATTTTGCTGCGGCTAATATGAACAAATGATTGGGAATTAATGGTAGACACTGTTGAATTTGCTGAAGTAAACAAGTTTTTTGGTGCTAATTGCTAAATTCTGACATAGCATAAATATTTGGTATTCACATTAAAATTCAGATTTACTACCTTCCACTTGAGGACTTAAACTTATAAAAAGAAATGCTAAATCGTACGTTTCCTGAATTCACGTTTCAGTGTTGAACGTGTAAATGCATGTCTACAGTGTTTTTATCTGTGTAAAGACTTAATTTTATCTAATGTTAAAACACAAATAGCTATTTGATTTATAATCTTAAAAAAAAAAAAAGAATCTTTGTAATCTTGCCCCAGCATGTGGGCTTCTGGTAGTTGCTTATTTTCCCTCAGCTCTAACACATTTTGTTTAATCATGTATTAATAAAATTCTTGACTACAAGTTAGTGAATTACTGGGGATCTTCACAAATGGTTCAGAAAGGACTTTTCTTAAGCAGATTGTTTTGCACCAACTGTTTGGAATTGAAAATAGGCAAATTTTTAAAACCACCTTTACCAAAAGGAAATACAAAGAAGTGTAACACATTTTATTAAGCAACATGTTAATTTTGCTAAAATCTCAGTGTGATTTTTGATCAGACTTTAATCAAATCTCATTATTGGTGGAAGGCTAATTACCTCTGCAATGAATAATCTACCTTGTCTGTTAGGTACATGCATTTTATTCATTAGAATTTTATTGTATAGGATTTGTTAAGTGCAAAACTAAGAAAACTTGAACTTGTAAAAGATCTTATGCATACAGTACATTCATATATTTTTACTAGGTACATAATCCTTTGTTTCAGCTGGAGCATATATTCAATTATTTTGAATACTCCATAATGAGTTTTGTAAATATTTCATAAATTTCCATGAGGAAAAAATATTAATATAAGCAATTTGATCTAAATGTCCTGATAAGATCCTTAGTAAATCTTTCGCTTTTTAAGGGTAAATAGATCATTTGAATGAGTTAAATTCACTCTCCAAGGTTTATATTGGCCCTGAAATGGTTACGTTTAATATCATGTACCATGATGGAGGATATTTTTATTTTCAGAGAATAGGACTTTCTGTTTCAAAATGCCCAAAAATTGTTAATATCATAAACTTATTTCATGTCAAAGTGACTTTTCCTAAGGAGAAGTTACCTGTTTTAGTTAAAACTTTGTTCTATACATTTTGCCTACCATATTTTTATTTCCTGGAGAAAAATTATTTTCAGAAAAGCTATTTCTTCTTCTAAATGTAAAGGGATGCAAGCATATGGAATAGTCATGTAGGTAGAATGTTCAAGAATCTATTAAAATCCCTACTGTTACTCAGAATACAGCAGTGAAAAACTTTCTTTAAAACCAAAGAAGGTTAGAGATCTACAGGCCAGGGAAGCATAGTTGGAAGAAACCAGAGTTTAGCCACAGACAACCTGGGGTTCTAATGCCAGCTCAACCACTACTAGCTTTGAGACCTTGGGTAAGTTACCTAATTTTTCTGAGGCTCTGTTTCCTTACTTTTTTGGGGTGTGGGCATGTTTAGATCAAAGTAAGCAAATGTTTAACAAAGTACCTGATATACGTTGGTGCTCAGAGAATGGTAACAAAAGTATCAAATAAGTGAGAAGTAAAATATTGTAGAAATTATCATATTTTTAATATATATATATATATTTTTACAAAGATGCCCTGGAAGCTACATTTAAATTTCTAATTAGCTAGGATTTTGTTTTACTGTTTTCTCAACTAATATTATATATTCTATACAGTTATTTGAATAGAAAAATGGGTGTTTCTTCACTACTCTGGGGTGATAAACATAGGTTAAAAAAATCTCCCTGTTGAGAATAAACGTCATCATCATCATCATCATCAGTCTGCAGAGCTGATGCTTAAAGATTAGATATCAGCAACTATTTACAATATTAAATGTCAATCTAAGAGGCTGGCATCCAGTGCTTAGACTGAACTAACTGAAACACTAATGAAGGTCATGATGGTGGTGGTGCTCTCTGGAGCTTTCTAATGCCTTTTTTCATGACTTTTGTTACTTCCATCTGCTTTACAGTCTGATCCTTTATTAATTGTGTTTTATGAAAATATATTAGGATCAGAATAAGTGTCAGCAGCTTGATTTATATTATCTTTATAGTGATGATATACAAGCTCTGTGACTTCGTGGAGGGAAGTTACAGAGAGAGAGAAAGGAAAACCTGGATTGTTACTCAGAGAAAGAAAGAGAGAAAACAAACATTTTTTTGTTGTGCCAATCTCTACTTATTAAGATATATATATATATATTTTTTACTATGGCCTTCATATTTCACCTGACTATAGGTTCTTTCTCGATTCATTTCTTTTGCAGATATTTTATTCCCTCTTCTTCCCTTAATGACATTTACCCCATTTACCTCTACATTAGGATCAAAATGGAAAGGCACAGTTGCCCCTTATTCTAAACAAACAGCCCCAATCATACAAAGGAGATGCAGTGGAAGAGAATTATTTGCACAGTACAAGTATCGTAATTTAATAATACTATTTCATTACCATGATATTACACAATGAATGTATTGTCAAAACCTGTGCATTTCATAAGAATTAACAAATCTGAATCTTTCTGGGTTTGGTCGTAATAAATTAAAGCTTTCTGCAATGAACAAATTGTTTCTTCTATCAGATGAAGCAATTCTGGATACTCTCCACAGAAGTAAATAAGACACTGTGGCTAGATTTAAAATGTTCAAAGCATTTTTATCTCTTCACTGGAAAAGTCCCATTCCAGTGGAAAAAAAAAAAAATGAACTTTGAAAATCCTTGCCTGCTGAGTGATATTCCTCCTGATAAATGAATACTGCATTTGATGCTTTAACAGATATATTTTAGTTTGGAGAAAAGCCTTCAAAACAAAGCCCATTGCTCCACTTAGTTAAGTGATCTTCAGTAAGTAATGCTCTATTCAATTCAGTCCTCCCTCCCCTTGGACTACTTATGACTTTTCCTTAATAATGAAACGATAGGATGCTACTTGAAGAGGACATTCTACTCAGAGAATAATTATTCATCTGGAAAACTTCACACTTATATTCTTTTTTAATCTTTTATCTCTTTTATTCAAATTTAGGTCATCCAACTCAATGATGCAACAACTGTTGGTTACTATAATATCTACCAGGTTTAGAATTTCACATCTAAGTTGCTAGGGAAGATAAAGATAAACAGGGCCCAGCTGTAACGGCTCATACCTGTAACCCTAGCACTTTGGGAGACAGAGGTGGGAAGATCACTTGAGTCCAAGAGTTTGAGACTAGCCTGGGCAATATAGTGAGACCCTGTCTCTATTTAAAGAAAAAAATAAACACAGAATAAGGGTCATTATTTGGATGTCACTGTTTGGCACTCACTATAGGAAATATTTTAATATTTTTTTTCACCATCACATAGTGATCTGGCTGAGACAATAAAAACACTGAAGGAACATATCAGTATAGATTTATCTGAATCCACAGAATGTGTAACACCAAGAGTGAACCCTAATGTTAGCGATAGATGATAATATAAACTATGGATGTGTTGGCTTAAATTCACCTCTGGCAAATGTATCACTCTGGTGTGAGATGTTGATAGTGGGCAAGGCTGTTTGGGTATGGGGGAAGCAATATGTGGAAACTCTACTTTCTAATCAATTTTGCTGTGAACCTAGAACTCTAAAAATTAAAACCTATTTAAAAAACACTAAAGGAGTATATGTGGCAAAATATCATTGCCACATTTATATAGTGAATGTCATCTATTTATATGAAAGAATCCCTCCTTAATAGTCCCACAACATTCACATTTATCTTTGAAACATAGAACTAGAAGGAATATTTGACACCATTTGTAGCACTCCCTCATGACACAGGTAAGGAAACTGGAACCCAAAGAGATCAAGGGGCCATATACTAATGGAGTATACTACTCCCAGTTCTTTCCACTGTGCCATCTTGCATTTGTAACCACTGAAGCAAAAGTTTATTTCGACCATTGTTGGCATTACTTGATGATGCTACATTGCACTTCTGCAAATTTGTGCTAGTAGAAGATCGTGTATTATTTTGATTTATATACTGAATCATGCGATTTTTAAACCCATTTAATAATTGAAGCTAGTGACACTCAAATGAGTCTCTCTCTTTTTTTAGTTTCTATGCCTGGAAGCTTATAAAAAGAAACTATTTACAAAAGTTTTCTAGTAACCACTTTGTCACCAACCAAGGCCACAGAAGAATTATAGAAAGAATTCTTTTTATGTCAGTAGCAGCAATAGTTTAAGAAATACAATATTGTTGCTTTGGGACATTTTTGCAGTTTTATGAAAACCATTTTCTTGGCTACAAAGTGAATTTTTAGGGCTGT